TGAAGTCTCCCACTGTTAATGTGTGGGGTTCAATGTGATTTAAGCTTTAGCAGTGTTTCATTTACAAATGTGTGTGCCTTTATGTTTGGAGCATAGATGTTAAGAATTGAGATACAATCTTGGTAGTTTTTTTTTTCCTCTGATGAATATGAAGTGTCCTTCCCTGTTTCTTTTGATTAGTTTTGGTTGAAAGTCTATTTTACTAGATATTAGAATAGCTACTCCAGCTTGCTTCTTGAGTCCTATTGCTTGGGAAATCTTTTTACTCTGAGGTAATGTCTATATTTATTGCTGAGATGTGTTTCTTGGATGCAGCAGAATGATGGAATCTGTTTTCACATCCATTCTGTTAGCCTGTGTCTTTTTATTGGGGAATTGAGCCCACTGATGTTAAGAGATATTAATGACCATTGATTGTTATTTACTGTTACTTTGATGTTGGTGGTGTTAGAGTGTGTGTGTGTGTGTGTGTGTGCACGCACGCACACTCACACATTCCCCTTGCTTTTGCTCATATCGGACTATTTATTTCCTGTTTTTTCTTGGATGTAGTTATCCTCATTGGGTTGGAGTTTTCCTTCTAGTATTCTCTGTAGGGCTGGATTTGTAGGTAGATATTGCTTGAATTTGGATTTGTCTTGAAATATTTTTTTCTCCATCTATGACGATTGAGAATTTTGCTGGGAATAGTAGTCTAGGTTGGCATCTGTGGTTTGTTATAGGTTGTAGAATATCTGTCCAGGCCTTCTAGCTTTTAGAGTCTCTGTTAAAAAGTTGAATATAATTCTGATAGGTCTGTCGTTGTATGTTACCTGCCCCTTTTCCCTTGCTGCTTTTAATACACTTTCTTTGTTGTATATATTTTGTGTTTTGGTTATTATGTGGCAGAGGATTTTTGTTTCTGATCTAGTCTAATGAGTGTTCTATAAGCTTCTTGTATGTTTATAGGCATATCTTTCTTGAGGTTGGGAGAGTTTTCTTCTATAATTTTGTTGAAAACATTTTCTGGGCCTTGGAGGTGGAACTCGTCAACTTCTTCCATTTCTATTATTCTTAAGTTAGGTCTTTCTATAGTATCCCAGATATCCCAGATGTTCTGTATCAGGATTTTTTTTAGATTTAACAATGTCTTTGACTGATATATCAATTTCTTCTATTGTATCTTCTACACCTGAGATTCTCTCTTCCTTCTCCTATATTCTGTTAGTGATGCTTGCATGGTTTACTTCCAAGCTTCTGTTTAACTAGCTCTTTAAACAACATAGGAACCCCTGATTAACAACCAAGAAAATTCTACAAACCAACCCATAAGCCAATCTGATCTAGGCAATCTCCCAATGAGACTTTCTCATATAACTCTGGGCTGTGGCAAGTTGACTGCTGAAGCTAACTAGAACACGTGTTTCAACCTCCAAGTTATATCTCTAATTTAACCTTATGTGTTCAATACTGTCTGCAGTAATTATCACTATAGAAGCTAATTCACTCTACTAATAGAAATAACAGGTGGTTACAAAACAGACTCTTGTTTGTTACTTATTAGGAAGTGAAAGGACACCTATGCTATTGAGTGTACTATTATCTTAGTGTGAGTCTTGAGGAAAAGAAAAACACAGATAAGCAGAATGAGACTATTAGTAAGTACTAGATTGTTAGATAGAAAATAGCCAGGAGAAACATAAATGGGTCTGGGAATAATTGGGGCAAAGGGGAAAATGGGTAGATATATAGAAGTTTTGGCTAGTAGTGGTCTAAAAAGGAAAGGTAAGAATATATAGCCTGATATCATAAACCAGGTCAGTATCTGGGTTTTGGGAGCTGTAACAATAAAAATCATGAATATGGGGGAAAGAAAAGAAAGGGAAAAAAGTAAAACGAAGAGAGAAAAAGGAGGGGCAGGGATACAATGGCCTGAACTATATAGACAGAAAGGACCTGTGGGCAGGGTAGAGAGCTGGGAGTACATAGAAGATAATGGCTTTCTGACAGATAAATAATAGCTGTAGGCAAGTAGGAGAGCTGGGTGGGAATATGAGAAATGAGATCAAGGGCCTGAGTATTGATTTTCATCCATATTGTGAATGGGCTCTGGCCCTAACTCTACCTCCATGCCAACAAACCACAGAACTTTCCAGACTTCTGTTTCCTCAACAATAGAGTAAAAGGAAGAATAGTTTTGTAATGGTATGATTATGCAGAGAAAGACAGGTGGATAAGCATTGCTTTGGGGTGAGCCTGTTTCTGGAAGAGATTGGTATTTGAGCCATTAGGCCAAAAGCTAAGAATCTGCTCTCTACATGTAGTACTGCCCACTTAACTGAGGGTACAGACAGAACAAAAAAAGAAATGGAAAGGTCAATTCCCTTTCAGAAAACTGAGCCAAGTATCCTTAGCCAAGGATACTTTTCATCAATTTGGATAAAAATATCATGAAAGTGTTACTCCGTTGGTGTTACCAGCTCTGGCTGCTGTCCATCTGGAGGTAGTATTACCAGCTCAGCCTGTTTTAGGTGAGATTAAAATCAAGGATGGCCGAAACGTAAACACCCAAAGGAGGCTTTGTATAGACTTGTGCTGCAGCCCACAGACAACTCCATAAGGCTGAGAGTGCTACATCTTGTAAAGGAAAAGAGGACCTGCTTGTCCGCTGCAAGTGTCTGTACCTAGACCACGATCACTGTCCTTCTAGTCCTAAAAGCGTTGAGCTTTGCTAGGCCATGCTACATGCTTCTTTAGAATACTGACAGCTCATCATGAGACTTCTGTGCCTCCATAATTATGCATGCCAACTACTCTAGTAAATCTACTCTTTTGCACTGCTGACATAGAATTTGAAGATGAAGTCTCTCTCACAAGCTCATGTTGGATGATTTGTCCCTAGCTGGTGCTGATGCTTTTAGAGATGATGAAAGTCATTAAGAATTTCTTTGATTCCCCCCACTCTCCTCCATCCCCTCTCCCACCCCAATCTTCCCTTTCATCCATCTCTGATATCTATTTTGTTTTCCCTTCTGAACAAGATTTGAACATCCTCTCTTGTGCCCTCCTTGTTATTTGGCTTCTTTGGGTCTGTTGATTATAGCATAGTTATGCTGTACTTTATGGCTAATATCCACTTATAAGTGAGTACATACCATGCATGTCCTTTTGTGTCTGAGTTACCTCACTCGGAATGATATTTTCTAGTTCTGTCCATTTGCCTGCAAAATTTTCAATGTTCTTTTTTTTTAATGGCCGAATAGTACTTCATTGTGCTAGATATACCACATTTTCTGTATCTATTTTTCAGTTGAGAGACATCTAGGTTGTTTCCAGTTTCTGGCTATTATTAATAAAGCTGATATGAACACATGTCTTTCTGGGATGGTGGAGTATCATTTGGGTATATGCTCAGGAGTGGTAGAGCTGGATCTTGAGGTAGAACTATTGCAAATCTTCTGAGAAATCGCCAATTGATTTCCAGAGTAGCTGTACAAGTTTGCATTCCCACCAACAGTGGAAGGGTGTTCCTCTTTCTCTACAACCATGCCAGCATGTGAGTTTTTGATCTTAGCCATTCTGATGAGTGTAAGGTAGAACCTCAGGGAGAGAGAAGGGAGATCAGCTTGAGGGGTGGGAATCTTTAGGAGGTGCCAAAGACCTAGGATGGGGAGAGTTCCCAAAGAGTCTAAGGGGGTGACTCTAGCTTGGATTCTTATCAGTGGGGTATATGGATCCTGAAGTGGCCACTTCCTGTAGCCAGCCAGGACTCCCAGTAGAAGGACAAGGACAGCAACCCACTCACAAAGTCTTTGACCCAAAATGTGTCTTGCTTATAAAATGTGCAATGACAGAGATAAAGCAGAGACTGAAAGAATGGCCAACAAATGACTCCTCCAAATTGAGACTCATCTCATGGGCAAGAACCAATCCCTGAGTAATGATACTTGGTTATGATTATAGACAAGAACCTAGCATAACTGTCCTCTGAGAAGCTCCACCCAGCAGCCAATGGAAAGAGAGGCAGAGACTCACATCCAAACATTACTTGGAGCTTGAGGAGTCTTACAGAAGAGTTGGGAGAGAGATTAAAGTACTTGAACATGACAAGGACTCCATAGAAAGACCAACAGAGTCAACTAACCTGGACCCTTGCGAGTTCCCAGAAACTGAATCACCAACCAATGAGTGATCACAGGCTGAACCTAGGCTCCCTGCACATATGTAGCAGCTGAGCAGCATGATCTTTATGTGGGTCCCCCAAAAAACTGGAGCAGGGGCTGTCCCTGAGCCTGCCTGCCTGCCTGTCGATCCTGCACGCCTAAATGGGCAGCCTTGTCTACCCCCAGTGGGAGAGAATGTGTCTAGTTTCACAGTGACTGATGTATAAGTGTGTGGGTGTAGGGGGGTGATAACACCCAAAGGGGAGCTCCCCCTTCTCAAAATAGAAGGGAAAGGAGAAAGGGTAGGACTTACATTAGGGAGTACTAGGAGGAGAGGTAGGTCTGATATTGGGCTGTAAAGGGAATGCATAAATAAATTTAATAAAAAGAAATAAAGAATGTCTTTGAAGAGCATATTCTGCCTTTTCCACTCCTGTCTTACTCTGCTTCCTGGTCACCATGGTGTGTACTCCTCTGCTCCATCATTCCCTGTGTGCCATGAGGTAATGACACCTTTTAAACTATGAAACTGAAGTTGCTCATGCCAGGAATTCTGCCATACCAAGAGAGCTAATAAATGCTGTGTCCTTTTATATCTGAGTTTCAGAGAGCCAATACAAGGCCTCCTTTCAGTGTGTTCAGGATTGTTTTAGATGATGTGTTAAATCATTCAGGGTAATACTTGCCATGTTAATTACTAGTTTTCATTAAGTGATGGCTATTATACAGCTTCCTAACCTGGAATAAAGAAGTAAGGTCAGAGACAAAGACGTTTGTTTAGGATGATGTGGGAGATGAATAGGGAAAGGGAAATAGTGATGACATATAAGTGGCTCATAGAAACTAAATTTTATAATGTCAGGAATTCTTTTATTTTATTCAAAGACCTTTTCTTCTTACCACAGAAGGACATAAACATTGCACACTTAAGATGCCAGAGGCAGTTGGAGTGTAACAGGAGTCATCTTCAGAAGCAGCCATTCCAACTGCCCACTTTAGTCTCAACATCTGCAGACACTCTTTCCAGATGTCATCCTGCAGGAAGTTCTGGGTCTCCAAACAGTGACATCTGTCATGGCAATATTGAAACAAAGCATTACTCCGTCCCCTTTTCAATCAAAGGAGCCATGGGTCCGTCTCCATGTGCTTCCTTCATTGAGCTCCTTCTGTCCTCCACTTTCTTGTAGGATCTCACATTAGTCTCTAGGTAAGGTCTTTCATGTCTCTCCTTCCTCCCCTTGGGTCCCTGGAAGAGCATCAGAAAAGGATAAAATGCACCAGATGCTGACCAGGTCTCACATTTGTCCCAACAATGAGACAGGAAAAAGGCTCTAATTTTGTAGCATACGTCCACATCTTACTTTCTAGCACATAAATTAGCATCAACCCAAATTAACTTCTCAGTAAAGGTTTTAACCATAAAGAAGAGATTTTGCTGTAGTGTGATGTAAGAGCTTCACGAGGAATGCAGTGTTTAGGAAGGACAGCCAACCAAATCATCATTCTCTGCTAGATCGGCTGCTATGAGTGCAGTGGGACTGTTTACAGTACTTCACTGATTTACTGAACACACACTGTTGTTCTAGGATCAGAATATACAGCATTAAACAGAGTCTACCTCCTAGAGACTCCACCTATATGGAGTGAGACAAAGTATCAGTACATAAGTCTAAAAGGAAATGAAAAAAAAATGGCTGGTGATGCAATGACAATTCCAATAGGGCTAAATGACAGGGGACTGTTGGGGAGGGTTCTTTAATTTTGATATGCAGATAGTGCCTGCCTTTTAGAGAAACTTTTGGAGCAAGAGAATGACATTGATAACTGCCATATCTATGTATATTGATGTATTTGTGTAACAAACAGAAGAATCCCTCCTCCCCTTATTTGAACAAGACAATGAAAAATTGTTGAGTGTCTGTGGAAGTCATGCTTCACATGCTATGAGGGGCAGTCATGTGACTCCTCAGCCCTACTGGGGCAAAATTATGGAGGTGTCTGGTTTAACTAGTTGTTGTCTTGGCTACTCTAGAGCATAAATCAATGAATTTGCTGTATTTCTATCCACCATGACTCCTTCATTAAGGTCAGAAAGATAAATAATGAAGCTGAGATAAAAAATTAAGAGAAAATTAAAAATCAAACTAGCTGTGGGAATGTTCTGACAAATGTGTTTCATTTATATTCATGTAATCAAAATGCATGTTTAACAGTCATCAATGTCTCTGATACTTACCAGATTGATATAAAAAGAAAAATTACAGTGATTATCTTTCCCAAATTAGCTATCCTCCTACTGAGATTATCTGAAAAACACTCATCAGTAATGATCTCACAGAGCCTGACATCTAGTCAACCAATGGATGGAGGAGGGCTTCATAAAGCTCCAAGCCTAGGGAGGAGCTATTGTTGGGTGATGATTGCTGGAGAAAGACGTTAGTTAGTTTTCTTCAGGGATGTGGTTGCTAAAGAGATTGCTGCTGATGTTCCAGAAGTAAATGGTCACACACACATGCACATACACACCTACATACCCAACACAGAGATAAACACATACACACACACACACACACACACACACACACACACACACACCACAGAGATGCACAGCCCCACACCCCCACATGGAGACACACATACACACATACATACCCCACATAGAGATACATACATACCACACAGAGATACACATTCACACACATGTACACACACACACACCTCAGGCAGCACTAAGTAGATTGGTGAGTTTATCATAACAGATGGAAAGAAAGAGCACAGAAAACAGAAAACAAAAACTGGTTGGGGATAGAAAAGGAGTTGGAAGTGGGCAAATAGGAAGGTAAATTTAATCAAATCACATTCTATGGATGTATGAAATTCTCAAACAATAAAAATGCTTTCAAAGAAAACCTAACATGTAATGCAACTAATACCAGCCGATGACAATACAGCTTTATGGATAGGTCACAACCATTGAGCATATCCATTACTTATGTAGGTTTTAGGGTGTGTGCATGAGATGGCAGTCAATATAGTCCAACTTAGTTTTAATAACAAAATAGAAGAATTTAACCAGGTATGTTGCATATGCCTGAACTTTCAGCACTCTGGAGGCTGTGGGAGGAGAATCAAATGTTTGAGTCCAGTCTGGGCTATGTAACACCCTCCAGGATAGCTGGACCATCACAGTAAGACCCTATCTCAAATCAGAAAGGGAAAGATGGTAGGACAAACAGAAGGAGGAGAGGCAGAAGGATGAGGAGGGGGAAGGAGACAGAAGGGAAGATGAGGGAAGGGAGGAAAGAAAGGAATCAGTTATAATCTAACATCATTGGTGAAGAATAGGCCAAAAATGCAGGTTTTGGCTCTTTTCATGCTCAGATTTATAAAAATATTGAGTCTACATGTTATCACAATTTAGTCTTTAAGCAGAAGATACCAGAAGGCCATCAGGACAAGATGGCCTTCTAACCCTGAGCTCCACATCTGTGAATTCAACCAAAGAATTACCAAAAATATACAGGGAATTTTTTCAGAAAAAATAGTTGTTACATTGTATTGTAACAACTTGACCTATAGCTTTTACATTGTGTTTCACATTAAAAGTAATCTTGAAATAGGTTACATGGAAATGTCTGTATTCCAATGCTTAATATATATGTTTAAATATTATTGACAAATGCCACTATTTAATGCAGTTATCTTAAAACTACTACATGGATAATGAAGCAGAAAGATGTTTAAAAATATATGCATTCTAAATATTTTCATTTTTCACTGACACTTTTCAATTTACTTTATATAGAGCTAATATGAAAATAGACATTTAATATTAAGTTATCACAAAAATACTGAGTGGCATGTTCCAGTCACTTATCATATGCTATGAATGAAGAAGTTAGACTTTCCCTCCTCAAACCTGAAGAAGACTTCAGGTTATGTTTTAAATAATAACAGTTCTGTCTGCCACATACCTCGGAAGGAGAGCGCTTGGTTTGAAGGCACAAGTGTTGTTCAAAGGATTCTGAAAATTCCTGCATTTTGGAATGAGCTCGTCTTTGTGATTCCATTGGCTCCCTGAATGAACTATCCACTGAGCATTTTCTGTGATACCGCATGGGAAGATAGCTTTGGGATCCCTGGTCCTCATGAGAATGTCTTCTGGGGTGGCAGTCAGATGATGTAACACTGGGAAATGCAGGAAACTAGAAATACAAAATTTTTTAAAGTTTACCTCATAAAGGATATGTATACTAACACAGAGACAGGACACATAAATTAACAACTAAAGGAATCACATGTTTCAGGAAAATGTTATCCTCTTTGTCAGTTGGAGCTTCCTTCTGACAAGAGGCAACAGAATCAGTTGTTAAAATATCTTGCAGAAAATCTCCAGATGACCATCACTGCTTGCTATTCTATCAACAGGACAGTGAAGGCCTCCAAGCCCTCAGTTAAATTGCCAGAATAAGTTTCTAAATCCTTTAAAAATTTTAATGACATTACAAGTGTTTCAGAAATAAGATAAAAATGAATGTTTATGAAGTCTTATAAAAATAATGGAAGAATTATGAGGAATGACTAATTTAACATATAAATATATATATACGTTATATAAATACACACATATATAATATATGTATCACCAACATCAAAAGCAACATAAATTTAGACAAAAACTTTAAAAACTTGCACGTTCTCAATGTCTAATACCGAGAACATACACAACCATATCATGAGGACTTCCAGACATGGAGATTATATAACGACATTAATGCTGAAGTCACAATTGGAAAATAAACAAAGGTCAGAGGTCAGAGAAGCCAGACTTCCTGGAAGAACCACGATGCTCTCTCCATCTTTCTCACTCCGCAGTCCACTTCAGTGTAGGCTTTGTGCTGAGGACATTTATCTCTGTGTTGCCAAATTCTGCACACTCTAGTCTATCTCAGTCACTGGGTCTTATCCAAGTGATTGTCCCATGGAGCCTTCTGAAAACATTCCTTCTCCTCCCTTCCATCACCATACGTCTTTAGCATTCTTTGATCTTTCTGCCATGGCAACACAGACATTTTCGCTCACTATCCCTTGGTGAATGTGGGAGGTCCCAAAAGTTCTAGATTAGACCCTTTCTTTTCTTTCCCTTTTCATTTTATACCATCTCCCTACACGTGTCTGGACATCAGTTTCTAGCTATAATCCTGATTGATACCATTAACCCTGATCTCTCCCATAAGGTGCCTACTCAATTCCTGTAGTGTTCCATAGACTCTCAAACTAATTTACATATATATAAATTGCTAATAATTACATCATTTATACAATTAATATTACATATTATATAATAATAGAATATATTATATAACACATATACTGTATAACAATACAGTTATAATTAATAATCAATTAATGTAAATGAGTTATATTAATTGATTTTATATATATACTGCTCTGCAAAACTATGGAAGACTGTTGTTTTGGGCCAGGATTCCATATTGACTCCCAACAGGTCAGGCGAAAATAAAAATGCACTCACCCATGATAAATCTCCAAGTCACTGAACAACAAGCCAGGTGAAATGAGACAGCTAGATTCCCTAAGCAGGCTAGTTTCAAAGACCACGCTGTTGATATAAGCTCTGGTGTGACCCTTATACAATGATCAAGACCTAAAGCATCTTTTCATTAACCAAAAAGTCATTGCCCTACCATTTTGTTACCTTATCCCACCTTTTAAGAAAAGAAACTTGAAAATGATCCATCTGATTTGCTTTCCTTTGTTTCTGCGGTTTTTCATTCTCTCTATGTCTTTAAAACCAATGTCAGCCCATCAGAAAACACATTACATTCTGTAGAATGCAGACATGGAACACAATGATGGATCCACTATCAATCTCTTCCTAATAGATGCATCAATCTGAATGACATTCATGCACCAGACTGCAGGAGCTAAGGGAGCCAGGGAAGACTACATTAGTGCCCGGTGTCAGAAGGTAAGAGGGACGCACACACTGAAGAAGACAAGAAGAGTTGTCTGTACCCGTCCTCTTCCAGCTCTGAGCAATGTGAAGCCTGTAGTTAGGAGAAGGAGAAGCTAAATCAAGGCCTTAGACTCCAAATCTGGTATTAGGGCCACTACAGTGAAATCCAGTGCCAGGAGGCCCATAGCCCCTGTGCCCTAGACAGTGCCTAGATTAAACCTCTGGAACCACATTAGACAGGCAGCCAAGACAGCACCACCTCTCCCCTAACCTTGAGCAACAGAGGAAGAAGATTGAACATTGTGGAGCAGAACATAAAAGTTGCCTCAAGACTTTGTAATTCAGGGCCAGGGCTTGCTACAGTGAAGCTCACATGAGGCAGAAATCAAGGTTCTAGATTCAAGCCCAACCTTATATACTAAGCCTCTATGTATCCCCTAGCATCTGATGGAGATCTGTACACAGACAGGACAGATCTATGTGTCTGTACACAGACTTCAGATCTTCGTGGCTGTAGGACCCAGACTAAGCTACCCAGCTTACTCTTTGTCTGGAAAGCCAAGGGACTCTATCAACAAAACTACTCACAACTTCAGACAGCACAACAGGGAACAAGAATGTATTTGCCAGGAGCATGAATGGTGTGAAGACAGGACTGCCCTAGAAGTCAGTGTCAGACTAGTGACTCCCACAATCAGAAACCCTGCAACAGTCCCAATGCCAGAGAGATGTCATCCAGCCATTACTATCTGTAGCTGGTTATAGCAGTCTGGATCCATGTGCCTTGCTCAGCAACTGGCAGTATATAGATAGCAGTGTATATTGTGGATAGCCCTGGTCTTGTATTTTGATGGTAATTCCAATTTCCCGGGAGGGACTCCAGATAAGGAGTGAATCGGTATACAGGTGACTTCTTGTGAACCTTCTGCCCACCTTAATTTGTAAAATAAAGGCTAGAGCTGGTGATTGGGCGGTAGAAGGGGCAGTGGAGGGAAAAAGTTTAGAGGACGAGGAGGAGGAGAGGGAGGAGCGGCAAGATGGCTGCAGATGTCCACCTGTCTCTAGCAGTTTCAGGGAGTTATTCACATCAAGGTTAGGTAATTGGGATAACAATTCTGATTGTGTGGGCATCTTGTGGATTGAGTATTTGCCGATATATAAATCTACTTGGATAATCTTTAAACATCTAGACTTTTGATTTACTGGAAGGCGGGTCCACCGGCAATCGGGTGATTATGGCTGTGAAGGAACTAACAGCTCCAGGGACAAGGAGCCAGAGCTGCAAGCACAGCAATTGGTCCCTACGAGAGCAAGCTAGAGAACAGTATGGAGGAACCAGCCCGGGAGCTCTATTCCTGATGGAGAGCTTGCCAAGACAAATGAGTTTAGAGTGGGAACATGGCAACCAGGCCAGGAGTTAACTGGACGCTCCTTTTTTCTAATACTTCCAATACAACGAGTGTGGCCTTGCATGAGTGATGCACGGTCTCAACAGGCTTTGAGCTCGTGCTGAGGACGTTAGCCAACATGTTAGTTTCGGTGGTCACACAACTGCTTTTTCCAGTTCTTCTGAAAATCCAAACAGCATAACACGGAGAGAATACTTTCCATTTAAGGCAGGCAAGTGCCAAGCTGTAGAATGATTGCCTGAAGCTTGTTCTTCCACTGTCGGGAACTGGGCAGATTCCCACAGTTAACTACAGACAAGGATTATGGGCAAACTCTCTGGATCTACCTCAGGCAAGGGAGAGGCCGTGGGAACAGAGCACCTTCCCCTCCCCCCATTAAATTATTTGTTTATTAACTTTACATCCCAATTGCAGCACTCCACCTTCCCAGTCCCCCGTCCCCACAAACACACACATACAGATTCTTCCTCTATGCCCGCTGCTCCACATCTCTGAGAAAGAGGAAGTCCATCCTGAGTACCAATCCACTCTGGTACCTCATTGTAGGTTCAAGTCACTATAGAACCAGGTACATCTTCTCCCACTGAGGCCAGACAAGACAGCCCAGTGAGGGGAATAGGACCGACCCACAGGCAGGCAACAGAGTCAGAGTAAGCCCCGCTCCAGTTGTTGAGGGACTAGCATGAAGACCAAGTTGCATATCTGCTACATATGTGCATAGCACCTTTTTAAAGTCCTGCTTCATCCGTGTTAAGCAGCATTCCAAATTAGGGTTTGGAACAAAACCGAGCATAGATTTTCCTCTAGTGTTGAAACATAATATGACACCAACAGAGGGGCTTTAAACAATTCACTAGTGCCATCTAGTGATGAAATTGCAAAAGGAACTCTAGGTTGTAGAAAAATAAGCAGGCACAAATAAATGCCTAACTCTTCAATGTGCAGACAGCCTAACACATCAATAGGCTCTGCCAGAGATCCACGGTCTCACCCAGCATTCAAAACATGGTGCCGGAAATCGATGACATTAGACTATGTAGTAACTCTTAGTGGAAACCTCAAAGCAGCTGTTTCAGAAAACCCTTGAAACAACTTCAAGAAAACACAGAGAAATGAATTAATAATCTAACGAAGAAATTTTACAGAAACATGGGGGGGGGATTTTTAAAAATCAAACTAAAATCTTTGGACAATGCATCAAGCAAATCTTAAAACTTGACCACAGGGGCCAAGAGCAGAATAGAGCCAAGGGGAGAAAGAATAAATAAAGTGAAGACAGACAACTTGAAAATGCAGAGAAGTTAAGAAGAAGGCGTAACAGGGAGAGTGTAGGATCCGCTGTGTACCATGGACAGAGAAGTTATTCAGCTTGCCAGGGTTTGGTGAGAACCTGGGAGGATCAGAGGGAAAGCTTATCAGAGTTATAAAAGAAAATCCCCCAAACATATCCCCCAAATCAGATACCTAGGTCAAAAGTCAGTCAGATTCAACTCAAACCAGTGTGCTGTAACTTATAGTCAGTTCCCCTGAGCACACCACAGGAGTTAAAAATGAATTTTTTTCAAAGGTTGGAGATAAAACAGAAGACTTCAAAGTCAGATCAAGTAAAGAAACAAATAACACATAACGTGTGCACCTCACACCATATTTCTCAACAGAAATGTTATTTGCCTGGACAGAGTGGCTTGGGATTTTCATGGTACTCAGGAAAAATCAAACCTGCCAACTAAAAACATCTGGTCTAGCACAGAGCTACTTCAGAAGTGAGGAAGAGATAGAGATTTTCCTATATGTATGAAACCTGGTTAGGTTCCTT